TGTGAGTGTGATTTGATAAGATGGTACCAGAATGTATAGTGGCCCTTCTACGATAGATGTAGCATTTGGAGGTACATGTGTGGCTGGATTGTGTTGGAACAATTGCCTTCAGTCAGGTGGGACAAGACAGATGTGTGTAGGGGGCGGGGGGTGGACCAAGCCAAAAAACAAGCAACTTCTTTCTCAGTGTCACCCACAGATGTGCATCTACTCCTAGGCAGGCAGAGATTATCAAGGTGATGCCCCATGCAGGCCACTTCCAATCTGCTCCTTCTCTCAGTCTGTATTCAACAGCCTTGGGAGTACACAGGAGCGTGCAGCCAGTTGCTGGGTGTGTGGAGGTGGAGGTTGGCCATTCCTCAGGTCACCAGCATGTTGTGCAAGGAAGGATGCATACCTCTAGTCATCACTCAATACTGTGCCCCTGTGCTGGTCCCATGTAAGTGGAGCTTATCAAGGCAACACCATATAACACAGTACTCTTAATGACCCTTTCCTTTGAGGCTCAGGACTCCACGATTATCATCTGTATCACTCTCTCAAATCTTGGTTGCAAAGGGTCTGTGCAGCATGTTTTATATAGTCCACCATGTTGCTGGAAGTCTCTTCCTTCTATATTCTTTGATGCTTCTTTGTACATTCAACATTCTGCCTAGAGAATCCTTTAATATGGCAACTTAAAGATTGATTTATTTTTCTTTAACTCTTTCAGTCTGAGAAATGCTGAATGTATTTTTAATTTTGGTTTTCTAGCTCCAAATCTTTTCACAATGCATCAAAATACTTTGTCTTCTTGAAATGTCTTTTGAAATCTTCTGTTTAGTCCCTTTACTATATCATTTCTTGTATTCACTTTAGCTATTTTACATTCAAGAGCAAGTTTGAGAATCTTTTCTGACATCCATTTTGGTCTTTTCTTTCTTTCCTACCATTTTAATGATCTTTTACTTTCTTTGAAAAGGAAGCCTTTGATGTCAGCCCATATTTGACTACTGTTCAGTGTATCAAGTCTATTCTTGAGATGGTCTCTAAATTTAGAATAGGATGCACTACAGCAGCTTCTCAATTGGCTCTTGCCACAGATTTAGTGGATTTTTTTCTTGTGTGTTCCATCTGCCAAAGTCCATGGTCATTATGAATGTTACTGTAAAAGATATTTGCAATGAATGTCACTAGTCTTGCAAAATTTATCAACTGATCTCCAGCTTTTTCTCTTTCACAAAGACCGTATTTCCTACCCTTGTTTCCCACTTTCACATTCCAATCACCAGTAATTATCAGCACATCTTGATTGCATGATCAATATCTTACTACAGAAATTAGTAAAACATCTTCTATTTCTTCACCTTGGCATTAATGGTTGCTGCATAAGTTTGAATAATGGCCATGTTAACTGGTTTTTCTTGTAGGTGTATAAATATTATCCTACCACTGACAATGTTACATTTCAAAATATATCTTGAAATGTTCATTTTGATAATGAAAGTGCTGCTGTTACTCTTCAATTTGTCTTTCTGACATAATAGATGATATCATTGTCTGATTCATAATGACCAATCCCAATCCATTTCAGCTCATTAATTTTCTCACTGAGTCACTTCTGACTCTTAGTGACTTTTTTTTTTTAACATTTTATATGGAGCTCATAAAACTGTTATCGCAATCCATACACATATCAATTGTGTAAAGCGCATTTGTACATCATTCTCAAAACATTTTATCTCCACTTAAACCCCCAACATTAGGTCCTCATTTTTCCCCTCCCTCCCCGCTCTCCCCTCCCTCATGAGCCCTTGATAGTTTATAAATTGGTATTTTGTCATATCTTGCCCTGTCCGACGTCTCCCTTCACCCACTTTTCGGTTGTCTGTCCCCCAGGGAGGAGGTCACACACAGTTCCTTGTAATCAGTTCCCTCTTTCCTACCCATTCTCCCTTTACCCTCCCTGTTTTGCCACTCACACGACTGGTCCTGTAGGACTCATCTGCCCTGGATTCCCTGTATTTTCAGTTCCTATCTGTACCAGTGTACATCCTCTGGTCTAGCCAAACTTGCATGGTCGAATTCGAGTCATGGTAGTGGGAGCGGGGAGGAAATATTTAGGAACTAGAGGAAAGTTGTATTTCTCATCGCACCCTGACTGGCTCATCTCCTCCCCAAGACCCCTCTGCAAGGGGATCTCCAGTGGCCTACTAATGAGCTTTGGATCTCCACTCCGCACTCCCCCCAACATTCACTAGGGTGGAACTGTCTCTGATTTTGTGAAGCTATAAATCTTTGTTGCTGTCATTAGGTGCCATTGAGTTGGCTTTGATCCATAGCGGTGCTGTGCACAACAGAATGAAACACTGCATGGTCCTGTGCCATCCTCACAATTGTTGCTATTACTGAGCCCATTGATGCAGCCACTGTGTTAATCCATCTTGTCCAGGGCCTTCCTCTTTTTCATTGTCCCTCCACTTCACCAAACATGATGTCCTTCTCTAGCGACTGGTCTCTCTTGACAACATGCCCAAAGTATGTAAGCCCAAGTCTTGCCATGCTTACCTCTAAGCAGGATTCTGTCCTTACTTCTTCCAATATAGATCAATTTGTCCATTAGCAGCCCATAGTTACTTCCAATATTCTTCTCCAGCACCACAATTCAAATACATTGATTCTTCTATGGTCTTCTTTATTCAATGTCCAACTTCCACATGCATATGATGAAATGGACAATACCATGACTTGGGTCAAGTGCACCTTAGTCTTAAAAGTAACATCCTTGCTCTTCGATAGCCTAAAAAGGTTTTGTGCAGCAGATTTACCTAATGCAATATATCTTTTGATCTCCTGACAGCTGCTTCCATGAACATTGATTGTGGATCCAAGTGAGACAAAAATCCTTGACAGCTTCAACCTTTTCTCCACTTATCATGATGTTACCTATTGGTTCAATTGTGAAGCGTTTGGTCTTCCTTATATTGAATTTAATCCATACTGAAGGCTACAATCCTTGATCTTCATTAGCAAGTATTCCAATTACTCCTCACTTCCAGCAGGCAAGGTTGTAAATCTTCACAGGAGAAAAAGGCTCATGTTTCTCCCGTGGAGCAGGTGGTTATCAGACCAACTCATATCCACTATGCCACCAGAATTTCTTCACCAATGCTTACTATATCATTTTTTATGCATTCCATTTAATTTTTGACAACTTCCAGCTACTAGATTCACACTTCATACATTCCGTGTTGCAATTATCAATGGATCTTTACAATCATTTCCTTTCATTTTGAGTCAAATGAAGGTCCTGATAGCTTTACTTCACAGGTATAATAAAGGTCAACTCTACTTTGAAGAGGCCACTCTTACTAAGTCATATTTAGAATGCCTTCTAAACTGAAGGCCTCCTCTTAAGGCACTGTTATCAATGTTCCACTGTTATTCATAATACTTTCAGTGGTAAAGCAGCAAGTTCCAGAAGCCATTTATATCCTTCTTTCTAGTTTGTCAGTCTAGAAGTTTCACTTAAACTTGCCCACCAGAGGTGATCTGCTATTACTTGAAATACCAGTGTGCTACCAGAATCACGGCAACACAAAAGTCACCACGGTACAAGGAACTGACAGAAGAGTGGTAGCCTT